AGCTCCCCAAACGCTGCTGTAATGCTGCAGTTCTGCAGGGGAATATGTGCTCTATGCATGGAAATTTGCACGTCTCTCCCACAACTGCGCTCTCAAAACCATAGGGTAGGAAAAGGTGAGTGTGAGGTAGTGCTACCCACCTCTGGGAGGAAGCTCTGCCCGTTGACTGGCCTCAGGCTGTGCGACACGTCGGGTCTTTTTTGGTTTCAAATGAATTTGCAAAATTTGCCAAAAAGTCTGAAAGAATTGGGCTCCAAACATGCTTCAAAAATGTAACTTTTAAATGTATGAAATTTCAGCAAATGGGAAAAAATGAATAAGGAAAAAATGAATAAGGAATAGAAGAAGCACTAGGAATTACCAAATACCACACGTATATGTTAAACTTTGAAGTTAAACCAACCTTTTATTCAAAGCGTCCATTAAAATGACAGCATATTTACTCTTCTGTTGTTAAGTCACACCACACTACAACTTAATCTTAAGCAGAGAACACTTCAAGGCATCTTGTAGGTCATCACTCTTTAATAGAACAAAAGCAGTCTTCCACACCTCAGTATTTTTTCTTGGTATTTTACACCTTGTGTGTCACGTAGACAAAATTACTCCAGCTGTCTGAGTTTTGTCTATAGGTAGCATTCAGCATACTTGTCGGACAGACCAACACTCTGCAAGTAGCCCAAAGCAATACAGCTGATTAGGAAGCTTGGTTTATCGAAATAAATTACAGCTTCAACCTGCAGCCTGTAGGTGACCACATAATCTCCTACCCCGTGATACTGTGTTTGAAAGCAATTCTCAAGATACACAGGTACAAAAGATTAACGCTTAGGCCTGGTTTTAGGATCAGGCTATTTGTTTGCAGCCCCATGAACAGTCACAAGGACCTCATCTGCTTTAGGAGCTCTGAACTGGCTGTTCAACTGCCAGGCAGTTTTATGTAGGCTAAGCAGCCCAAATGGATACGGAGTGTTTTGTTTCCTTAAGCCCAAAAGTCTTGTAAGGGAAACAAATAAATTTGAGGCCAATTAAGTTTAGGAACTGAAAACAGAAATTAAACCATGTAATTCATGCAAAAACTAATTATATTGAATGACACTGATTTTTTTCTTTTTAAATCAGATTATTCTCCACTGCATCAATACATGATTTTAAACAAATGAGGTTAATACCATTTCTACCATAGCAGATATCAATTATCAGAGAACATAATTCAAAGTTGCAGTTTCTGCTGTAAAATATCAGCCTATTTCTTAAACAACTGTATGCATCTGGTCAGATAATATCAAGTACTCAAACATTTTTTTCCCCTTGATTAAGCAAGAGGGGAAGTGGCTTCACTTCTCATCTGAACTTCCTGACCTGCCATGGATGGAGGAGTTAAGAGAAAGCAGGTCAGTAAATACGAATTGTTAACAACCCTAACGCAGTAGCTCAACTGAAAAAAAAAAAAGTGTGGTGTGTCTGTGTCCCATTTGAAAACCTTTTTTTTTTTTTAAACATATTAGGAATAGCTGGTTGCCTTCCATGCAAAATAGAGAGAAAAAAAAATCATGTGAGACAATGGTATTTGAAAGTAAGTAATACACATGAGGTGACAAGATATCCTGCTAAACGTTTTCTTTCTGCATATGAGAGTACTAGGCAGTGTTCTGCATCTTCATTTATTTGGGAGATATATGAAATCACATAGCACACCCGCAACTACCTTTGAAAGCCTATTTTCTAGTTGTATAATGAATACTTTTCTGCAGTGTTTAATTGATAGCTGTGCTACAGTTAGTGAACACAAAATTGGCATGTTATCCTGAAGTAAGCAATAAGGTGGCTTTATGCACAGGAAGTATGGAGGCTTCTATTTGCTAATAATCATATAAAAGCAGTACTTTAAACTTAGTGTTTGCTAATAAGAGATCTAAAATAGTTAACTACAAACCAATACCACCCTGTAAATACCCCCTTTATTAACAAAACAAGTGCCAAATCATTACAGGGTCCAGAAAGATCTGAAAAAGTACTACCAATTGTTTAACTCTGTCTAGACTTTGCAAGACTAATCATTTTTAGATAAACCCAACAATGTGCAAACATTCCTAACATCATATGTCAGGAATAACAAGTGCTATTCAAACCAAGAGATTCTGCTGTGATCAAATCAAAAAGCATAAAACAGCAAAGTCAAGTCTTATACCTAGAGCAGTCACAGCAAAGATCCTGAACTATCTTCTTACAGTTCCCTGCATGAAGCAGTTTCTTCTCCTCTATGAGTTATCTAAGCTGTGCCTTCTGCCTCAGTGATACTGGATAAAAGCATCCTGACATCAGAAAACATGGTTCTATTGCTGCTTACAGTATTTTCAGACCTGCCACTTAATTTAGCTTTGCTTAAATAGTCAGATAAATACTTCTCCTCCCGTCAGCCTTTGGCCACATGTACCATTCTGCCAACCACAAACACCTTGTTCAGAAAGTGCTTCCTGTGAAAACTGCTTCAAATAAATGAGTTAACCTTGCAAAATCTAGATCCCCACAACACGTAATATCTCCACCCTGCATTATGCAGTCTCATATTTACAAAATACTTAAAAACTTTACATCCGTCTTTTACCTTACAAAAAGTGCAATTCTCTCACCCCACATTATGGGGCAACAACATTCTTCATGAATTCTACAGAATAGCAGCCTATGATAAGCAAATAAGGTGCTTAGCTTATGCCCAGGTTAAGTACCACTGGGAAGGACGCGGTATAGGCAGACTCTGCTCCCACACTACTGCCGCAGCGGTGCCACGGCCAGGTTTGCGAGCTCGATGAGGGCCAGGGCGCCGTGCATGCGCTCGCGCTGCTCCTGGAGGCGGCGGCGCTGCGCGGCCGACAGAGCGCTGTTCTTGTCCTCGTCATCCTCCTCGTCGGACTGCAGATACTCCATTGGGTCCTGCTGCTCCTGGTCCGTTTTCTGGATTGCTTTACTTTTCAAAGCAGGGGCCCGCTGTTCTCTGGTCTCCCAGTATCTAGAATCAAAGGTGGAAAACATTTTTAAGCTATGTGACACATTTATTATAGAAATTTGTACAAGTATAAATTATTATTGCGCACAAACTACCATTCAAAGTTGGTGAAAACTTTACCAGTACTGAGACTAATCAATTCATTTGGTTTTCTCTGTCCACCTTTGCATGCTGGCATTTAAGCGGTCAGAGGCCTCCTTCACTCAGCATTTGTAGCAGGTTCTTTTCAAAGAAGGAAAACTGATGAGAAAAGGCCCCACGAGGAGCTTCCTCTCAACCAGCAGTCAACACTTCCCAAAGAAAAGGCAAGACTGGACTAAATCATGCTAAGAAATAGCCAGTTTGGGGTTCTTAAGGGCTTTTGCTCCTAAGACAAGCGAGAGACTTCCTCAAGCTGCTCTGTTTGGACTTTAGAGAGAGATCACATCATAAGAGGAACTTACTTTGCTAGCCACTCAGCCACAGCTTTGTTATCAGCCGTCTGTTTTTTACTGAGTATGTCTGTGAGCTCTTCCCTCTTCAGACGGGCATAAGGATGCTTGGGGCAGTGACGGTTTGCGTGCGTGAATCTGCTCAAACAACCTTGGAGAACAGAAAATACCAAATTTAAGGAAAGCAGCCAAACATCAGGAGAGCCTAAAACCTGCGAGATGAAGATGCTGCTAAATTGAACGCTGTGCCTCCACAAAAGCCTGGATTCAGTGAGAACACACTCAAGCTCTGTGCCTGCTGCACACCCAATCATTTTTCATCTCAGTATCAACTGAGGCATTTACTGCCAACATGCCTACACACAAGAATTGCATGTAGGTCAGCCTGGCCACGCATGGGTTTCATGTGGTGCCTCCCTCGCACAGATGCTCCTCTGCAGCTAAGATCCTCTGCAGAGGACTGGCACACAGGATTCCCAGTGCTAGGCTGCCCTAGCCCCAAATGTGCAAGCTGCTCCCTGGGCTCTTACCATTCTCCGAGCAGACAAACGGCTTTTCCCCGGTGTGAAGGCGCTGGTGAGTTTTGAGCTGCCCACTCTGAACAAAGGCTTTCCCGCAGTCTGGGTAGTCACACAAATAAGGCCTTTCACCTTAAAAACAATGACAGAGCAGATTTGTGACAGCTGAGTACAAAAGAAGAGTCATCACAGCATCCCTCCCTAGTCCTTCACCCGAGATTCGCACAACCAAGCTTCCCATCCACTCCCTCAGGAGGCACTAGCATCTGCTCAAAAAGCCTTAGCACACCTGGCACCAGAGACTTACTTTTATCCCAAACAGACACTTACGTCAAAGCGCAAATGTTACTGGCTTCTCTCAGGCACACTGGGTTGAAATAGAAAATAACCCTAAAAGGCATATAAAGCACAGGCTAAGGGCAATGCAGAAAATGGTAGGCCTTCACTCCCTCTCCTACCATTAAATGAAATGATTTTTTCCTATCTTTTTTTTTTTCTATTTTAGACTGCAATAGAAACTTGGGTGAAACAGGAAAAGGGCCTGACAAGTCTTATCTGCAGATAGTGTAGTGCTCCATCCAGAAACCATCCTTGTATCTATTCAACATGAGTAGGTGATGCAGTGCCAAGTGATGGTTTTTTCTCTTCTTTTACAAACTTGTAAGAAAGAAAATGTTATTCCTGCAGGGCTGCAGAGCCACGGCAGCAGCTCAGCACCACTGGTAAGGAAGGGGCAGTTTGAGAGGAGAGGAGAATCGTGTAATGCTTTTCACTTCAACCATCACACACTGCCCTTCAAACAGTCTAGGCCCTCGGTCTTACTGTGATAGAATTTTGACATAACTATTTCATAAAGGATTGGGATACCTACATATACAGTTTGCTACAGAAACATACACAGTATATTGCATACATAGCATATCCTAGTACCATACGTTATAGGAAAAGTTACAAGTATTAAGTTACAAGTTACAAACAAGCACATTTTTATCAACAGTAGAAGTGGAACGAGGACAACATCTGGGGTCAGTAATAAAGGGATGTAGAACATTACAGAAGCATCATCTTAGAGAATATTATTGGGAGGAAGACAAAAATAAAACAAAGCAAAACAAAAATCCCTGTCTTTCAAGAAGGACCGGTAGAAGGTAACACAGCCTCACCAGCATGAATTCTCCTCAGTTCAGTATTACGTGTATAACCCCCCTCAAATTCAATGCATCATTCCAGTATGTGAAAAAGTAAAATAAAGTTTTATTTTTGGTAAGACAGCATAAAGAAACTTGCCTTTAGTATTAGTATACACAATCTTGTGTTATTTAGATACCTAAGAACCAAGAGCTTTTTGGTGTTTTTAAATGTCTACAATAGATGACATTTCATTGCAAAAATAGAGTCTTGCTGGAATGAAAAGAAAAAAGTAAAGGTTTTTAGCGTAAAAAGGGTACTGAATGGATTGCATTTTAACTGAACTGTGACTTGCCTTTAAGTGGCGACCTTCAGACCAGAAAACAAATTCTAAATAAGAAGATGGTTAGGGAAGACGACAGGACAGTAATTTTACACATTTAAAGACTTTAACATTTAAGCTTCACAGGGTATATTATATTGTCCAGTTGTCACTTTCTTTTGAAGATTTGTTCTCTGCTAACAGATACTTTCCAACTGCTGTGTGTGACTGCACAAACATGAAGTAAACTTATCTCCCGCTCACAGGTCAGAATGAAAAATATTGTCAAGTGCAGAACACCAAGCTTCAGAAAAACATTTCCTCCTGCTAAGTAAATCTCTGACAACAGCAGAAAAAATATTTACATTATTTGCCTCAGCCCAAACTGCTGCTACAATTATTCAGTCAACAAAGAAGGTTATACAAAGACTTCTATTTTTCCCTGTTTGCACTAGTATACCACAGGATAAAAGTACAATTAATCCAACAGTTACATTAAAATATTAGTTTTTTCTCCCGTAGCTGGGAGGAAATGCCGCATCTTCCTCCTGGCCTCCTCACTTACCAGTATGGGTTCGCTTGTGTGCCTGCAGTGATTTCTCCCGCGGAAACACCCTGTTGCAGATATTGCAACGTATTCTGCTAGATGAATGCTCTCCTTCATTTATTAGGTCACGAACTGTGTCTGCTCTTGGTCGGCCACGTCTTATCCCATCCTGCATCAAAATAATTAGGAAAATGAAGTGCTGTGCATCCCTCTACAACTCAGCCAAAGGAAAAGCCATACGAAGCTTTAAGCAGCAACATCTTTCCCTGCAAAAAGACTTACAAGTAAGTTACATCATTTCTCTGTTTGAACAGGTAATAATTTTCCCAGTTTATTTTTAAAACCAAGTTGACCCTGGGCCCCCAAAGTTACACATTTATATTATAGCCTGGAGAAGAAAAAAAAAAAAAAAAAACAGAGCAGCACAACTTAAATGCCGCTTTTGGAAACACGCGGCCACACGTAATGCACTCGTGCGCTACGCCAAGCTGTGGCACGGGTCACAACCACGAGCTGTTTTTCACTGAACAGGAGGGCACGTGTCTCACTTTCGCCGCCACCTCGCCCGGCGGAATCGCGGCTTTGCCCGACGCTGGGCGGGACGGCCCCGCGCTGCGGGCGGCCCGCGCCCGCGAGGCGTCAC